ATGTTCTAGCTCTGACACCCAAGCCTCAGCTCTGGGCTCCAGTCCAACCAAAATCCAGACCCCAGATTTTATGGCCCAGTGGACATCTGGTAAACCCCAACAGGGAGCCGGAGGCTGAACTTGGCTCCTGGGGTATACACAGGCCTCGAAGGCCATGGGCAGGCCTTCACTTTAGGGTCACCTAAACCTACCCCCATGAGGTACATTCTGTTAATGTCCCATTGAAGGGACAGGGAAATGTATGATAAAGACTATTCTGGGGCTGGGGCTGTAGCTCAATGGTAGAGTGCTTGCCTACCATGTGTGAGGCACTGGGTTCGATCCTCAGCATTGCATATAAATAAATAAAATAAAAGCATTCTGTCCATCTACGACTATAAAAAAATTAAAAATGAGTATTCCATATTGGTTGGTTGTAGATTTCTATATATACAAAGTATATGAGTAGGTTAATATTATTCAAATATTCTATACCCTTATTTTTTCTTATTGTGGTAAAAATGTCCATAATATAAAGTTTGTCGCTAACAAAATTTGGTATATTCATGACATTATGCCACCATTGTCACCATGAATCTCAGAATATTTTCATCACTCCAAGGGAAGCCTTGTACCCATGAGGAGTCACTCAAGCTTAATGACTTTGTAGTCAGACAACACACTGAGGATACTATGACTTTGAATTTTGTGGAGACTTGCTTCAAGTCTCAGTATCTGGTTCATTTTTCTTCTTTCTAAATTATAATTTTGAACTCAAATTAATCGTACAGATTTGTGGGTTTCTCTGTGACATTTCCATACATGCATGTGTCACCCCACCGAACGCCCCTCTTGCCCTCTCCTCTCTTCCCTCCACCTACTTCCCTTCCTCCATTAGTTTTTCTTCTACTTTCGGGTCCTGTTCTCTTGTTGGTGCCCACAGGTGAGAGGAACGTGATGCTCGTCTTTCTGTGTCTGGCTTATTTCATTGTTAACACGACGATCTCCAGTTCCATCCATCTTCTTGCAAACAACACGATTTCATTCTCCTCTGTGGCTGAGTAATACTGTACGGTGTGTCTTTCCTTCATCCATCTGCTGCAGGGGCACCTAGGCTGAGTCCATATCTTGGCGACTTTGAAGAGTGCTGCAATAAACAAGGGGTTCACTTCCTCTGGTATATACACAGGACTTACAGGGCTGCATAACACGGGAGTTCTATTCTTTTTTTTTGGTGGGGGGAGCCTCCACTCTGATTTCCCCATCTTTGCTGTACTAATTTACATCCCCACCAACCGTGGCTAAGTGTTCCTTTTCTCCAGTTCTCACCAGCATCTGTCATGTTTGGTTCTTTTTTTTTTTAATATTTATTTTTTTTAGTTGTAGTTGGACAGAATACCTTTATTCCATTCATTTATTTTTATGTGGTGCTGAGGATTGAACCCAGGTCCTCGAGCATGCTAGGCAAGTGCTCTGCCACTGAGCCACAATCCCAGCTCCTGGTTCTTCTGATAAGAGCTGCTCTGACCGGGGTTTAGAATCTCAGTGTCGTTTTCATTTGCATTTCCCTGATGGCTAAAGATGTTGAACCTTTTTTCATATATCTGTCGGCCATTTGTACTTCTTTTGAGAAGTACCCGTTCAGATTTTTAGCCCTTTTATGATTAGACTACTTGGACTTCTCTTGTTGACAGTTTGAGTTCTTTATGTATTGGGGATATTAGTGCTCTGACAGATGTATAGCTTGCAAATATTTTCTCCCATTCTCTTCACTCGGTGGATTGCTTCTTTTGTTGTACAGAAGCTTTTTAATTTGATATAATCCCGCTTATCAATATTTCATTTTATTTCCTGAGCTATTAGAGTCCTTCCTATTCAGGAAATCTTTACGTGTCCCTCTACMTGTTACTGTGACTCTAATATGTCTTGAAATCTGGTTATGGGATGGCTCTAGCATTGTTCCTTTTTGCTCAGGATGGCTTTGACTACTCTAGGTCTTCTGTGCATCCATATGAATTTTTTTATATACCAGAGATTGAACCTGGGGCACTTTACCATTGAGTCACATCCCAGGCCTTTTTAGAATTTTATTTTATTTTGAGACAGGGTTTCACTAAGCTGCTGAGCATCTTGCTGTGTCCCTGAGGCCTTGTGCTGTGTCTGACCTAAGTGGCTCACTTTCTCTGTAGATCTTGCAGGTGTGGGGACCCTCTGCAAGCCCAGGCAGGTGTGTTGTGGACAGCAGGAGGTGTGTTGTGGACAGCAGGGTGTGTGAGGTGCCCGCTGTGGTTTCTCTTCCACACTCGTCAGCGATGTGCTGTCTACAAGAGAACCAGAGCAGCCTGTGCTGGGCTGGCTTGGGGGTGTGGTGTCCCACAGCTGTCCTTTCTCTCTGTTGTTGCTGTTGGGTTATTGACCAGGTGTGGGAGTTCAGCCTCCGCGCCCCCCCAGCTGTACCTGTGTGGGGCTGGGTGATCAGCTGGGGGGCTTTGATCTCCCCAGTTTTTTAAGTTGAAAGCTCTGCCAAGGTTTGAGTGGGAAAGACTGTCACTGAATTAGGTGTCATTTCTCTCAGCTGGGCTGGGGGTGCACCTCCGTGGCAAAACACAGATCCCACCCTCCCATGCCCTGACCTCTCCCAGCTGCCTTTCCAATTTGGTTCTAAATGGAAATGACCTTTGTTCCGGTACCTGTCACAGACCAGCTGCCCACTGCGTGGTTTTCTATGGCTTTGGCTTACACACTCTATCCTGTAACCACACAGCGCTCAAGACAGACTGGGATACTGGTATTTGCTGTGGCGTTCCAGAAAAACTTCAGGGACCTTTGACTCAGCGCAGCAGCTCAGAGGAGACCTTCTCAAGATAGACCCCCCTGGCTGCACCACCAGTGCATGCTGGGAAGTGGGTGGGACTTCCCTAGTGCCTGTGTGCTGTGCAGATTTCAGGTCCACTGTTCAGGGGTGTGTGTGTGTGTGTAATTTCCAGTGTACAAATGCACGCCCCCATGTAACCTTCACTCCTGTAAAGTTGTAGAAAATGTCAATCAACCCAGAAGGTTCCTCATGCTTCTTCCAGATCTGTTTGGAGACATACTGTCCCTCCCATCCCAGCAACCAGGCAACACTGATTAGCTTTGTTTGCTCCAGATTTTCCTGCCGTTGGAGTTGTAGGGTGTGTGATAGTTTGCATCTGACTTCTTTCACAGAAGGTGGTGATTTTGGGGTGCATCTGCATTATTGCATACATCAACAGCCCATTTCCTTTTATTGCCCAGTGGTATTCTGTTGTTCAGACATGTCACCCTGGGCTCACCTACTCGCCCTTTGATGGACACTTGCTCTGTTTCGAATCTGACTACTATAAACCAAACTACGATGAACATTCTTAGACAAGCATATATTTTTTTTTCATGTCTCTTCCATAAAAACTAGAAATAAAGTTGCTGCTCATGGAACAGATGCAAGTACATCTTGCTAAGAATTTGCCAAACTACTTTCCAAAGTCGTGGTACCATCTTACACTGCTCCCAGCAAGGCACAGAAGTGCCAGCTGCCCTGCACTGATGGAGACCGGCTGCTGTCGATCCTTTTAATTTCAGCCATCCCTAAAGTAGTGTTTTGAAAAGAGTCTGTGTCCTCCAGACCCCGGGAAGAATGTTCTGCAGATGCCCACTGGGTGAAGGGTTTAGTCACATTGTTCAAATAATCTTTATCCTTATTCATTTTTATCTTGTTTGTTCTATCATTTTCTTTGGGTCACTTTAAAAATCCCCTTTGATGAGTTGGAATTTGTTGATTTAATTTTAGTGATCTCACTCCTTTCTATATTTGAGGATCTTTTAAAAGATCCATAAAAATTTGGATATCTCCTTATGGAGATAGATGCACAGTGATTTATGAATACATCTTGAATATAAATTTTTATAGGCACATTCTTCCTGGTGTAATTTACCGATGAAGAGTCTAATAGCAGTTCCTCATATTCTAGGGGCCTGGGCTCACCCTCTCTGTCGCTCAGTCTTCCCCTCTCTCTGTTCCTAGGTCACCCCCGTTCTGTCCTTGGGTTCCCCTGCCTCTGTCCCTGGGTTTCCCCTCTCTGTGTCTGGGTCCCCCTCTCTGTCCCCAGGTCTCTGCCACTGTCCCTGGGTCTTCCCTCTGTCCCCAGGTATCCTTCCTCTCATGCCTTCCCACCAGCCTCCAGCAAGGGTCCTGAAGTAGATAAAATCATGCATCTTTTTCTTTTCTTTCTTTCTTTTTTTTTTGGTACTGGGGATTGAACTCAGGGGCACTCGACCACTGACCCACATCCCCAGCCCTATTTTGTATTTTATTCAGAGACAGGTTCTCACTGAGTTGCTTAGCACCTTGCTGTTGCTGAGGCTGGCTTTGAACTCATGATCCTCCTGCCTCAATCTCTCTAGCTGATGGGATTACAGATGTGTGCCACCACATCCAGCAAACTTAACATGCAGCTAAGAAGACGAAAATGGAAAAAGGTAATCAAAACCAAACAGTTAAATGAATCGAGAAATCACTTAAATCCACTGTTTGCTGACTTGGATTTTCAGGCACTGGACAACATTCACAGGACTGGTTTCTCTTAACCTCTCAGGTGCAGCTGCTCCCCCTGGAACCCTGTGGCCTCCTGTTCAAAGCTCCTGCTTGCCAGACGGGGAAACAAGACTAAGGGTGGAAAAGCTATTTGCTGGAATCCTTCAATGGGAAGAGAAGCAAGGAGGACACTTCCAACAGAACCCGGCTGCTCTCACACTTTACTCTGGGGTGGGGGTGGGGGTGGGGGCGGGGAAGGGGATCAAAGGGTGAAAACCAGCCTAATACCCGGGGAGGCTAGGAAACACTGGGCTGATAAGGGCATTGCAGACAGGAAAAGATTCCGAATGGACTCCTGAGTCTGAGGGAGGAGGGCTGGGCTCTGGACCTCTGGGCCGCAGGGAGATGGTAACTAAGGTCCTGGGCTCCTGGGTGAGGGAGGCCAGTTCCGTGGGTCCAATCCCCAGGGCTAAATTGCCTGGATGGTTTTCTGTATCCAGTCAGTGAACTTGCAGAGGTTGGTGTAGACACTTGGCATGCCAGGCTGGCCACACTTGGCTTGTCCCAAAGACACGAGGCCCTGCAGGGACCTGTTGCAGACCAGGGGGCCCCCAGAGTCACCCTGTTATGGAGAGAAGGAGAGAGTCAGAATCCAAAACACTGAGAGGTGGGGCTAGATGTGGGATCAGAGAGGAGCCACATGAGATTGAGAGACAAAGACAGAAAACAAGCAGCCACCCACCCCTGGAAGTCCCTTGCAGGTCCCTGACCCCCTGCCTGCTCCCTGTGCCCAGAGTGGGCCCTGCGCTTCCCTCGGGCTTGTTGTTGATCTGTCTGACCTGTGTGTTCCCATGGGTTATTCCTCTCTCTGAGCCTCTGCATCTCTCTGGTTCTTGGGATTCCTCCTGTTTCTCACGCGCCTCCCTCCTGGAGTCTGTCTGGATCTCACTGGGCTCTTCTGGGTGTGCCCTGGCCTCCAGCTCCGTTTCTTTCTCTCCTCCTCTGCCTCTGTATTCTCCTTTGTACTTATTCCTGTTTCCTCCGGTCTCTTTCCCTTTGTTCCCATCCCCCTGTCTCTACTGCTCACTGTACCTCCCGTCACCACTTCTCTGTCCCCCCCTGTGACATCTCTCACGTTGCAGGAGTCCCTCCGGTCCTGTCCCCCGCCAGCGCAGAACATGCTGTGGTGGTACAGGGAGGTGTAGATCTCACTGCAGACCTTCTCGGACACCACCGAGACGTTCGTGCACTGGAGCAGCGTGGGCAGCCTGCCTGGGACACAGAGCTCTGGGTCAGCCCCTCTGGTTGGGAGGGGGACCCCTCACAGAGGGCAGAGGTGGCACAGGCTCACCATTCTCCAGCAGACCCCAGCCAGAGACAAGGCAGGAATCCCCAGGTGTTGGGCATTGGGAGGTGATGCTGATCTTCCGAATGGTGTCCGACTCAGGCACGGATTCCTTCAACTTTATGAGCATGAGGTCGTTGGCGAAGAAGGGATTGTTGTACTGGGGGTGCTGGATGGAGAGGAGGACCTCCATCATTCGGCTGCCTGGTTCTTGGTTGGCCTCAAGACTGTGCAGACCCAGACCCACGGTGTAGGAGCTGAGGACCACGGGAGCAGGTTGAGTTCTGTGACGACTACCCTCCCACCCAGGCCGTCCCCACTCTAGGACCCACCCCATCTCCCTGCCAAGCACCGTGCTAGGAGTCACCTAACCGTGACCTCAAATCCTCATCCGCAACAACCAGGGATCAGAACCTGCCCCAAGCCTCGGGTGACCCAGTCCCAGGGCTCTCTGAATCTTCCCAAAGCAACATTGTGCGCGCCTGCCTTGCCCTACCCCTGGACTCCCCAGTTCCAGGCTTGGGTCCACGAGCCAGCACAGCTGTCGCCACAGATGCTGGGTCTGTGTGAGCCCCCTCCCCTGAGATAGCGACACACTCACCCCCTCCTGCACTCACTTCTGTAAACAGTGCGCGGCTGACAGCACCCACTGGGGATGCACGAGGACTCCCGAGCAGAAAAACTCATCTTCCTTGAACAGTGCCGCCTGCCAGGGCTGCGAGTGAGGGATGCAGTCCTCGCCGTTTATGATGTGGCTGCCGCCACTCCAGGCGAGGGACCCTGGAGGCGGAGTCAGGGCTGGGGGCCGGCCCAGGAGGAAAGCCCAAGGCTCCAGGGGTAGGGGAGTCCCAGTGAAGGGGCGTGGCCAGGGCCTCGGGGTGGGGCCAGGGGTTCAGGGGCGGGGTCGTGGCTGTGGGGCGGGTTTAGAAGGCAGGATCAGGGCTCCCGGGGTAGGGTCTGAGTGCAGGGGTGTGGTCAGAGTTTGGGGACAGAGTCGGAGGTCTTGCGGAGGAGTCAGCGGCAGAAGGAGGGATCACTATTTGGGGTGTGGCCTACGCGCAGTCTAGGCTGGAGGCAGGCTCTGGAGACTGGACCCTTGCAGACATGGATAGGGAGGGGAGCCATGGACAAGCTTCAGGGGTGGGGGTCAGGGCACACAGGGTGGGGTCAGGTCCCTTGGGAGGAGGCCTGGGAGATGAGATCAGCTCATAAAGACAACGCATTTTTCAGAAGGGTTCCAGATTTGAGTCACTGACCCATCTCTAGGACCCACATAACATTCTTCTTCTGCAAACCAAGCCCTGTAACAGGAGTCTCCCAGCACAGCGGACCCTCACCCAGGCTGGGCACACACAGCCAGCTACTCAGGGAGTTGGTCACATTTTGTAATGCCCTGGCCATGCCTTCCGCCAGCCTGGCCTGGTCGCACCCAGCCACAGTCACTTCACACAGAAACACCATCATAGTCCCTGCCGTGGGTGCCAGTGAATCTGAGGATTGGAGACCCAGGAAGCAGGCCCCGATCCTCAGCAATGGGTGACTCCTCGGGAGGATGCGCCATCTCCCATGTAATGGCACCCTCCGCCTCCCCTGTCCCACGGCATCCATACAACGTTGTCACTCTGCAGGCTATTCAGAGGCACAAGCTACCAAAGCCATTTACCCAATAACACACCACACACGCAATCACACTGCTACATGCACAGTCACCATGATGTTTACCTATGTGTCCCACCACCCACCACAGGGGCACACGGCCACATGGTCCTTTCACACAGCAGAGGAACACTAAATCCCACCTGGACTGTAGCCCACACTGTGCCCTCAGGCAGTCACACACACTCAGATACCTGTGACCCCAAGGAGGAGGTACCCCAGGAACCAGCCCCAAGGGTTTCCTGCTGTGACCATCGTGTCGGCACCTGGGAATGAGGAGGGGAATCCGGGGACCTTCAGAACAGAGCTTCTCCTCTCTCTCTTCCCTTCTGGGCCCCCTGGGATGTTACTGAACATCTACAGGCCCCTGTTTGGGACTCAGAATGCAGAGAGAGATATTCAGAGACAGAGGGAGAAAGAGACAGAAAGTGGAGAGGAAGGTACAGAGAAAGTGTCCACCATCTATGAACAGGGAGAGGAGTGGGGAGGACCCTGGGGACAGAGGCAAGATGCAGAGAGAGAGAGAGAGCCACAGAGACAGGGAGGTTAAGCATTTGATCAGAGTCAGCGAGTTGGAGATGGAGACTCAGAGAATCAGAGAAGCAAATTCTAACTAGAGAGAGCTAGGGAGAGACCTCTTTGGACAGGAGATGTAGAGAGGGCATCCTGAGGCTGAAAACAGCAGATGAAGACCTCCAGGCTTGTAGGTGGGGACCAGGGGCTGCTTACCTGGCCACCTCTGGGCTCCTGGATTCAGTGGCTGGCCCGCCTCCTGCCTGCTTCCTCCCACAAGGTCCCCCATGGGGCTTATAAGCTTCCTCAGCCTGCCCCCCAGGGCACACAATCCAGAGGTCAGGTGCTGCTTGGGTCCTGCTCCAATCTCTCTGGCAGCCTTAGACCCTGAGGCAGGGGGTGGGGCAGCAAAGACCCAGATCCTGCCCAGACTCCCCACATCCCTTCTTTCTTTCTTAGTTATCTCTCTCCTTTCCTCTCTCCCCTCTCTCCCCTCTCTCCCCCCTCCCCTCTCCCCTGTCCTCTCTCTCTCTCTCTCTCTCTCTCTCTCTCTCTCTCTCCCCCCCCTCCCTCTCTCCTTCCCTTTCCCCACCCCAAAGCCAGCCTGCATCAATACTCCTTTTGGAACCTCGCCAGGGGACCCCACCTCTGTGAGCCTCAGTCTTCCCATCCCACCCGCTCCCAGCCTGGATCCCAACAAATACTGCAGGGAATGCAGAGTGCCCTGGGAGGCAGCGGGGGACAGGCTCCTGGTGAGCCCAGCTGTCTGAAGCCTCGAATCCTTCCAGCAGAAAAGAGCAATCGCACCTGTCTTGCCCGGAGCTGCCAGGCTTGGGTCACAGCCAAAAAGAGCTTGACGCGATGGAGCGGAGAAGAGGCTCCCGAGCTAGGGAGAGGCCGGGCGCGGCGGGAGGAGGGCGACAGACCAGCGGGCAGATCGCAGATCCTGCGGGGCTTTAAATGCTAGGGTTACTTTGGGTTTTATTTAAAGTGTGATGGATTTTAAGCACGAGGATAGAGGAAATGACATGCTCTTATTTACTTTAAACACACACCTTGCGTGGGGAATGAGTAAGGGGCGCGTGGGGGTGGGAGGAGGCAGCAGCCGGGCGGGGGCGGGGTGGGGGATGCTGCGGTCCAGGGCTCGCCTTCATTTTGCAGAGGGGCCATCGTGCTGAGGGATGTGGGAAGGCGGGAGCGGGGAAGGAGCGCAGGGGACATCGAGGCTCTGTCTGGCCTTGCGCTGTGGGCGCGCGGTGCTTGGGGACCCGGGCCAGAGGCGCGGGGCGGGGCCGGGCCCGGCACCCCTGGGGGGAGCTGCCGGTACCATCGAGGGGGTAGGCGGAGGTCAGGGTGGCGAGGACCGGGGGAGTCATCCGGGGAGAGCGGTGTTTACAGCTGTGGAGTGGCATGAGCTCACCCCGCAGTGGGGAGACCTCAGAGGCGGCGGGCGTGCCCGCAGGCATGAGTGTCCAAGCGTCTGTCTCCCTGTCTGCCCTCATCTCTGTCTCTCTCTCCCTTGTCGCTGTCTCTCTGGATCTTTCCCCGACCCTGTCTTTCTCTGGTCCTGCCAATCTTTCCTTCTTTTGACAGGGAGACAGAGACACTGAACTAGTGAAGTACTAGGTTATGAAGGCCCAGGTTATGCAGCACCTCAGAAGTCTGTTTAAAAAGACAGACTGAAAGACAGAGTTTGGATTTCCCCCCAGCTTGAGTCAACTCCACTCCCAGCCTCCCTCTCTGGAGGGGCGGCACCCCATTCCCTCGGGAGCGCCACCAAACCCCAGGGGCCCCCTGGATTCTTCTTGCAGTGGCTGCAGTCTATCAGCAAGCCCTTTAGGGGTTTGCCCCCAATAAACTCCAGCCAGCCAGACCTGCCCAGCGGGACCGCCCCATTCGCTGGGCTCCTCATTCTGATCTTGTCCCTTTCTAGTCTGTTTCCTGGGTGGATGTGGCTCCTGAGTAAACTCCAGGTCCCCTGCGGTGGCCCTGCTTCCTTCCTCTGGGCTGCCCTGTGGTCTGTTCCACAGTCTTCTACATCTGCCCTCTCTCTCTCCCTAGAGGACCCCCATCTGTCAGGTTGTGTCCAGTGTCGCTTCTTCAGAGAGGCTTTCCCTGGTCCCTTCCAAACTAATACAGGTCCTCACTCCTCTATTTATCCTCCCTCCCTCTCCCTCCCTCCCTTCCTCCCTTCCTTCCTTCCTCCCTTCCTCCCTCCCTCCCTTCCTTCCTCCCTTCCTTCCTCCGTCCCTCCCTCCCTCCCTCCCTACCCTCTCCCACTTCTTCTCTTTCTCTGTTTTCCCTTCTCATCGAGTCCTGCACACCTCCTCCGAGCCCTTGGCACAGTCCATGCACATGTTATTTCTTGTATATTTATTCTTCTAACACCTGCTTCCCTCTCTCAGCTGGGAGCCCTTGGAGAGACAGAGCCCCTCCCACTCAAAACCATTCATTGCACATGTGTTGCATGGATGGCTAAAGGGAGATGCAGAATCATTGAGACACACAGAGGCAAACAGAGACGGATGGAGGGCGAATGGTGATAACCAACAATAATGATAGCGCACACTATCTAATTAACATTTTAAATATGATAAATTAATTATAGTCAGGCTGAGAGCTCGCTGTGTCAGGCTCTATTTCAAGTGCTTCGTAATACAGGGGGAGTATCCCCTATCCCAAGGCTCAGGACAAGAAGTTTTATATTTCATTTTTTAAAAATTTTTGGAATAATTGCACAATGAGATGAGTTAGGGATGGGGCCCAAGTCTCAACGTGAAATTCATTTAAGTTTCGTATGCATCTTATATAAGTAACCTGAAGGTAATTTTACACAATTATTTTAAATAATTTCATATACAAAACTGAATTTCATGGTGTGGACTTTTCCATGTATGGTATCATGTCAGTGCTTGAAAAGTTATGGATTCGGGGGCATTTGGGGCTTTGGATTTTTCCCCCCCCTTTCAGTTTTTTTCCCCTTGCTGTGCTGACGATGGGACCCAGGGCTTCTCCCACGCCGGGCGAGCTCTCCCACGGAGCCTCATCCCCAGGCCAGATTTCTGATTAGATGCTCAACCTGTAACTCATCTCTTCCTCCTGTGACACTGTGAGATAGTTGATCATAGGAACTCTGACAGATGAGGAAGCTGAGGCAAGGAGAAATAATTTACCCAATGTCACTACAAGACTGCGGCTGGAAGCCAGAAAGATGAAAGAACAGAAATGGACAAACAGCACGAGGGTCAGAGCCTATTTCTGGACTCTCTGATATTCTGTCCTCCTTATATATCAGGAAACAGCAGCTTTAGTGTTAGAAGGTGTCCAAAGGGACAGGTCTGGGGGCCCAGGAAGTTCCCAGCCCACTGCCCCTTACCTGAGCTATCTGCTCTCGCCTTCATTTACAGGTGAGAGGCAGCCCTTGCTCAGAAGACAGGAAGCGTGACCTGGAAGAGGGCAGGCCACAGACCTGGCCTCCAGAGCCACCCTGTCTGGAGGTCCACTGTGGTTGCGGAACTGGAGGAATAAGCCCCTTCTCCCTCCTGTGCCCTTGGGCAATTGAATGTCATGAATCTGGACTCAGTGGGCATGGCCACCTGTCTAGGATTGTCATCTGCCCCAGGACCTGGCCGGTTCTTCTGGGTGCCCAGTGCAGCCCTTAGGGAACCAGCCACCTGGTTTTCCCTGGTAAACTTGGGGATGCACCTGTGGCTCTGGTTGCATGTTCTCTGGGGATGGAAGGCAGGTGCCACCCTCTCTTATTCAGTTCTGTGAAGCCATCCTGTGGCACATTATTCCCCCTGAGGAGAAATGTCTTCCATTCTGAGCCCTCATAGGCTCTGGACGTCAGAAGTTCAAGGTCTCACTGACCTCTGCCTCCTTTTCATCAGGACCTTTGTGGTCAGCTGTCCCACCCCCACCCCACATGGTCAAGGTTCCTTTTGCCTCAAGAAGTCACATCCTCACAGGTTCTGAGGATCAGGATGAGCACATCTTTGGGGGAAGGGACCTCATTCTGGGTCCTGAGAAATCTCAAGGCGTGTGCAGCAATTCCTGAGCTCCTGGTTTCTGCCTCCTCTACCAAACACAGCTCTGCCAGGACAAAGCAGCCCTGTCAAGCCCCCCATCAAGTTTGCACCCAGAACAATATCTGGCATGTAGTAGGTGACAAGTAAATATTTGCAGAATGAACAAGTGTCCCCAAGGGGGAAAAAAAATAATGTCCTTAGGAACTACTCACTCACAGTCACAGAAACAACTTTATGACAAGGATTAGGAGACAAACTCTGGGACTCAGGCTCTCATGATTCAGGACTCTGCTCTGCCCCTCACTAGCTGGGTGGCTGCGGACAAATCACCATGTCTCTCTGGGTCTTGGATTTTTATCCGTGGAAGGGAGATTGTGGCAGTCTTGTCACCTGAAATGTTAGGAGCGTTTGATGCGTTGATCCCTGTCCAGCTGTGGAGCTGTGCTGGGCACATGGGAAGCACTTCAGATATCTTCCTTTTTTTTCCCTTCCCTTTCTTTTCTTTCTGGTACTGGGGATGGAACCCACAGGTGCTTTACCACTGAATCCCACCTCCAGTCCTTCTTATTTTGAAGCAGGGTCTCTGTCGGTTGCGGAAGTTGGCAGCAAACTGGCAATCCTCCTGCCTTAGCCTCCTGATCTGCTGAATGAACAAATGTCCCCCAAGGAGAGAACAATAGCACCCTCAGGAACAATGGATTTGCAATTACAGAA